CCTAAAATGGTGTAGGGACATGCACGTCCATAAAGCTAGCATTTTTATGGACCATTAGGGTCCCCTTAAGCTTTTGTAAGAGTTGAACTTAAAGGCTGAACGGATTAAGAACGTTGAATCGCTGGTTTGGGCCTCAGACCGTTCTCACAACGTGAGACATGAGGTCTCATGATGTGAGCAGGAAAAACCCATCCCTTGCTGAGTTGTCTGAGTCAGGAGCGAGTCTTTGGAACCGGAACGAGTGACTCTCATGACGTGACCACAGATTTGGTCACGACGTGAGATGCGATGTTGGGTTTTGGGCCTTGTTGGGACACTAGTTTCTGACTTTGGGCCCCTATGGGACTCCTGGGTATGGAGTGATTTTGACTTTGACCAAGTTTGACCCAAGGGTGTTTTAGGTAATTTGAGTGGTACTCGATATTGGTCAATATTTGATGTTCAGGTGATCAGACGAGCTATCATTTGGAGTTGCGTCCTGCCAGAGATCTATTCAGATTGAGAGATGAGTTTTCCTCACTGTACTTAGGGGTCGAAGTCACCAATGCTGGACCACTAGATTATGTATCTTGGTATAGAGAATTTTGACTTGCTATAGTGATCTGTTAGTTCGGTATCTTGGTAAATAGGATGTAATATGTAGTAGTGATATGTAGATCTGCCTGTTTGTCTGATGACTAATTATATATTTATCTGTTGTTGGATATATGTTGTATGTTATGTATATGTCGACATGGTATGGTTGGGTTGAGGTTGTACTCCTTTGTGCGGTAGCCAACAAACTCAGGAGCAAGCCAGACATAAGCTATGGGCCCGTAGGGCAAGCCACACTTATGTTGTGGGCTTGGGAGCAAGCCATATATGAGTTGTGGGCCTGAAGGGCAAGCCAGACTCATACTGTGGGCTCAGGGGTAATCCGGTCTGTTAGTTGTGGACCCAATACATGTTGTTATATGCTGTGTGTTGGTACTTTGGGGGGAACTCACTAAGTTTTGGTTTACAGTTTCAGGTACTTCAGATTACCGCGGCAAGCGAAGGCGTAATCATGCACATCCTTAGATTTTCATGTTGTTTGGATTTTGGGATACTCTGATTACTAAAATGCACTTTTGAAACAATGATTTTGTAAACATTTATGGTTATGGGTTGTTTTTGAAAATTAAATTTTATTGTGAATTTTTGGGATGTTATAGATGTGTTTAATGGAGCATTGGAGCCAAACTAGAGTTGGGAACTTATGAAGGATGTTGAGGAATGATTGGAAGCTGCTTAAATCAAGGAAAAACTGACGATTCGTGCGAAAAACACAAAATTCGATCGTGCTTCCTCCAGAAACACGATGGAATTGATCATTCGAATATTGTTTGCCTTAGTTTGAAGTTTTAGGAAGAAAAAGGAAAAAATCGATCATGTTATGCCAGAAAACACGACCATGTTAATGGGTCGAGGTTCCGAAATCTTCAAAAATCAGTTTCTTGCCTAACACGAGCCTGACACGATCGAAATTCAGAAAATTCGACCGTGCTTTAGAAAAATTTGATTGTGTTTTTGTATGTCTTTCTCTGGAAGTTTCAGACTCGCATATAAATTCGACCTCTCTGATCAGTTTGAAGCTAAGACGTTCCCAGACGACGAAAACGACTTTTGAAGGCGATTTATGCACTTTTTCATCACTTTTAGAAGATATGAAGGTTGTGTATCATCTCAATCAATTAGATTAGTAAGATTTAGTAGTTTAATGTCACTTTTTATTGTTCTAGATTCGTTTTTAGTCATGTCTGACTAAACCCTAGATTTCAGTTCTACATAGATTACTACTTTTCATGTAATCACTCATTAGACCTGGTTTTTGATTTGTGATTCTATCTAGTAATTTCAGTTTTGCACTTAATGAATGTTTGATTTTATATCTTTTTAGCATGATCACCTAATTAGGGTTTAATCAATCTAGTTAATCAGTTAATGGAATCCGTAATTGTTCTAATCAACTAGTAATAAGTAACAAATATCAGTTTGATTCCGTGTTGGGATTTAACTCTGATATAAACTGAAATTTCATATTTTTACGCCTCCAAGCTTGTAAGAAGTATTGAATATTGCTGTGAATTTTACATAGATCATAATGCTGCTTTTTTGAATTAAATTAAGAGCTTGTTTAATTAGATCAGTAAAAAGTTAGGGTTAATTGAAGAACATGTTTTGGTTAGCTAATTAGGTAAAAGAGAATGTACTAGAGCTTACTAGTTGTTCTCAGTACCAACTTAAATAGAACACATTTTGAAAAATCAGGTGAATGTTGTTTGCATGATTAGGAAAGTTGCATCAGAACTGAATTCGTTTTTTTATTGAATTTTACTTATTTTATTTTCACTTCTATTTTTAGTTTAATTAACAATCAAAACCCCCATTTTCTTTTATTTACTGTTTTTGACTAGTATGCACCTTATGCAAAGAGACATTGAATGTTAGGCTATGTCCGTGTGGATTCGACCCTGCTTCCATGTGATATCCCTTAGTGCATTCGAGCAGTGAAATATTATTTGGTTAAGACGCCCACGACATCGTTTTAACAATATGCTTATTGAAGGATATGGCACAGACTAGTAAACATAGTGTCAAGTTAGAACATATGAATATGTAAACTGTTATGTATATTATCTTCATGTATTCACTGTGAATATAAAATGTTCAATCCTTATCGACACCCTAATATTCGAATATTTGGAATGAGTAATATACTGATATGAAATACAAGTGTCATGACATGTCATTTATGCATCGGTTTGTTGTTTTTTATGACTTTGCTTTAAGTTAATCAAAATTACACTTAAATGGGGGGAGGATTGTTGGTGATTTGTATCACCAATGTTATTTAAGTTTAACGGGAATAACTTGTTGACCAATGTAATCTTAATAAATCTTGAATAAGTAAGGGTGGTGAGGAGTGCACACTTGTTTGAGTTTATTAAGATTTAAAGTATATTGTTATTTCGGGGCGAAGCCCCTGAACCACAGGGGTATGGGGGCAGTGCCCATGATAACGGGGTCCAAGGGGTGGCTATTTTTTGGTCATTTTTGAATCTAGTACAATAATAATAACTTCATCATTCCCTGTTCTAAAAAAACATTGAGTTTTATCTAACTGAGATTTCAATTGTACCATCAAAATACTTCAATTTGAAAGTGTATCACGACTCTCATTGGAATCCAACCAATCGAAACACCTCGTTTTTCCAACAAAAAGAAACAACATGATTAAATCCACATCGAGCCATATATAATTTAAAATAAATGGCACAAAAACATAGAAGATGACCATTGCATTAGTCACATCACGAATACAACAAAAGTATGCATATTGACTTGTTTTAACCAACTATAACCATAACATTACTAAAATTACCATATTAGTGCTCAATGAACATGGTTTTTACTAGTTAGGTTAATGTCGCTGTAGTCCAATCAACTTTTGATTTTGGTTTTAAATGGCCAGTAAAGTTTTTTTTAGGTATTTTAGATCCTTAAACTAACAAATAACCTGTTAATAAAGGGTATACCTTCTTTATTTGTCGGTTTCCCGGTGATGTTTGAGTGAGACAATCCAACTGGTGCTACATAGATACATTAAATGTTTTTTTTTGAAAATTTAAAAAATTATGACACATCATCTAAGTCTCTCACTCATCCCCTTCAAACCCCTCATTTCTCTTACTTGGAAAGATTTTGCAGGTATGTTTCTCCCCCCCCCTTATTCATCTGTTAACTAGAATCTCTTATTGTGTTTGCTTCTCCTTCTTCCCCCTCTGTTTTCTCTCATTTGATTTGAAGGTGGGTAACATAAACCGGGAAGATGAACCACACATACCCTTTATCTCATATGTTCAATAAAACAGGGAGCTTTTCTATATCTCTTGTTTGATTTGCAGGTGGGTAACATGTGAGATAGTGGTGTTCAATGGAATGATAGATAGATATGGAGGGTTTGATTTTTGATGGAGATGAACCAGTACATACTGTTGGTGATTTAATATCATCAACATTATTTAAGTGTAATAGGGTTAAATTTGTTGATAAAAAGTGATCTTGTTGAATATTGAACAAGTTAGGATGGGGCAAGAGTGCATACTTGTTCAAGTTTTCAAGATTCAAAGTACACTGTTATTTAGGGGCGAAGCCCCTAAACGAATGAGGGTCCGGGGGCAGTGCCCCTAGGAGCGGGGTCCAAGGGGCAGAGCCCCTTGCTGGGGTCGAAAAATACGATTTTTAGAAAATGGACTCATTTTGACCCTTTTCCCCGAGATCCGTTTTTATGACATGTTTGACAGTTTTATGATAGTTTGTAATTGTCTTGTGACACTTTTCAGACAGGAATCATATAGCCGTATTTTGATCATTTTTTGGGACACTTCTTTAAGAACATTTTCACATACATTCTCTGATTTCATAATCTCTGAATTTCATCCACTTGAGTGTTCGATCTGTACCATCAAAATACTTCAATTTGATAGTGAATCACGACTTTCAGAGGATCCAAGAAATATGCTCATCCCCTATTTCTAACACATACCAGAACCCAAAAGAAGATTACTTTTGAGATCAAGCTTTGTTAACGAAATCAATTACCAGGCGGAGGACGATTTGACGTTCCAAGATTCGTCAACCCTCTACCGTCTCCACCACCAATCAAAAATAACCTTAACAATGTACCCTCCAAAACCGTAACAAGTCGTACCCTCCATCCCTTGCTTTCGCCTCTTTACTATCACCAATTCAATATTCCACCGCTTCCATTTCCCCTGCATCAACAACAATCATAAGATAACCACATTCCTTCCACTCTTGATATTCTATCTCACCAACCTCCAACCTAGTCACCTAGAACCCTATGCTATTGTCGTTGGTGCCAACCTTTACAGTGATTTCAGTGCAAAACTGGAGAAAATCAAGCATTTGAGTCATAATGTTTATCTAGGTCTAGAGCATACATGTATATGCTTAAAATGTTGCGAGAAAATTGGTCAAAGGTAAAGGAAATTGTGAAGACGCTCATAAGGAATTGTGAAGACGCTCATGAGGTGAACAATTTCTTCTAATAGGTTTGGTAGATCATCGTATTTTTATGGGTTAAATTTTTGTTTGTTTGAATTTTGCTTAATTGAGCTTCATTTTGCCTTTAGTATATGTAATGATGGGGATCTTGTGGAGATGGTGAATCAAGCTCCAATGTATATTGAGAGAGAGAGAGAGAGAGAGAGAGAGAGAGAGAGAGAGAGAGAGAGAGAGAGAGAGAGAGAGGAGAGAGAGAGAGAGAGAGAGATTTTAAAAATTAAGAAAAAAAACTTTTAACAGAAAATCTTCATTGATGCCATGTCAGCACCACGTGGACCACTTCAGTTGACCAAAATGTCATGTGGACATTAGCTTATCTAGGCAACCGGATGACCCATTCAGTTTTAGGACATTCCCCTATTTAATCCGTAATTTAAAAGTTTAAGGAACCACAATGTAAAAAAAAAACTTCAATTACCATATAAACCAAAAACAATAATTGGTTGTACTATAATAACATTGACCTTTATTAGTTTTATATGTTTTCAATCACTAATACATGTGTTTTTATATTTTTTTTACGGTTTTAAAAGAAGTTATAATTTATGAATTAAGAAAATAATAACCTAGTTTATAAAAGATAGTTTTAAAACACAACTTTATACAAAGTAATTAAAAAAGAAAATATTTTAAAAAAAATCAAATTGTTAAAAATAAATTATCACAAAAACATTTATACAGGAATTTTAAAAAAAAAAATTATAATATTAAAAAAATTACTTTTTCTTTAAAACAAATACAATTTTAAAAAACTAAATTTTATAAAAATTAATAGACTGATTAAAACCAAATTCATACTAATTTTTCACTGTTGGGAGTTGGGAGTCGACGCTGGCCGTCCCCAATTCATCGGTCCGAGACTCCGAATTAAGATTTACAGAGCTCCGTTTGTAGCTCCTGGTTGTACATGTCATAAGGCCGCTTTCCAACTTTTTTTTTTTTGTATGTGTAAAGTGAATGAGAACCGCATGATTCATGTGGAACAAAGACAAAACACTAGCAGAAAAGATACGTCTGGTCAGTGATCTATGAGAGCCCAAATAAAAATTATTACTCAAACAAATCACTAATCCACGGCATCACTCCCGTCGCCGCCGTTAGATTCTCATATTCTGTCGCCGTTCAACGCCCGATCAGATTTCGTCTATCATCTTCTTTCAGGTCAATATTTACACCCTCTCTCTCAAGCTGTCGCATTTTGTAGTTTCTATGTTTGCTAAATTTCGTTTTCAGTTCTGTTATCGTAGTGAGATTCGTTATCGTATTATTATATAATTCTTAATCCTTGACATATAAACGCACTAACAGATCCATTTTCTGTTTAATTAGTGAATTAATTAATGGAAAAAGGTAGCTGAAAAGTTTTGCTTTACGATGCAATCTCAGAACTTTTTAGTTTTTCCCCTAACAAAACCCATATTAGTGTTTTTATGAATTTTACTGATTCATATCCTTCCACCATTTTATTTTATTACAAGAAAAGAGAACCGCATGATCCTTGATTTCGGAGGTTATGACTTATGATTAAGAGGAACTTTTTGTGTTACGTATTTGGTTAATAATTTGGATTTGATTGATTGGCCTTTTTTGCACTTTCATTGGACAACAAATACCTTTTTCTAGTTGTTATTCATGTGTGCTGCAACTTGATCATGATGGTTGACCACTAACCTAACATAACCTTTTTCCACTTAATGATGTTTTAAAACACTTATTTAGTTATTCATTTGCATGAAACATTTTTGGTATGTTAATAACTTCATGCATTTGCAATTTTGCACCTTTCACCAAAATTTTGATAGGAATTTGCAAAAACATTTTTGGTCTGTGAATAAGCTGATGACTCTTTTAATTTTAACTGTTTTATAAACTTCTGTACCTTTTACATATGGTATGGTATCTTCTTGTTTTAGTTTATGATTGCTTAATATTTAGACTTTAAAAAATTCAGCAGGTGACATCACTTGTTATGCAACTCTGTTCTTGTTGTTTTTTATAAGTGGGAGTGGTTAACTTGTCCTTGTTTTAATACATGTATAACTGTCATATATGACTCCTAATTTAATCTGCATTTGTTTTAAAGTTTTTGAAGTAGGAAAAAGGTTTCAAAAGGCTAATGGACTATGGTCACAATGACTGTGAACCAAGAAGAAGTGGATCTTTTAGTCGAATCAGCAGTACAAATTCTTCATTCAGGAGGCAGTCTTTCAATTTCAACCAATCAGGAGCTAATGATGACAGTGATCACCTATCAGTTTCAGAAGCAGGAGATATTGGAGATAGAGCACTTCATAGTAAAAGACATAGTGGAAATGAAAGTGGAAGACCTGTGTTCCCTTTTGAAGAAAATCTTGTACTTCCCATTCAAGAACATTCTTTTAAAGAATCACACCTCCCAACTCCATCTCCCTCTTCACCAGATGCAATATTACATGACAAAGGCCAGAATCAAGTAAGTTTCTTTATGTGACTCTTTGATTATAAGTTATAACCATAACTGAATCCATGTTTTATAACATTTACACTTGTTCATATTGTTCAAATGTAGGATTGTAAAAAAGAGCTTCCATGGTTCATGACATATATCTCATCCCGTGTTCATCTAGCTGTACTTGGCATTCTTGGGGTAATGTGCTAATCTCTAAACCATTTTTTCCAGTCATAAATATAATCTTTATTTATTTTTTTTAATTTTTATTTTAAATGCAGGTATTGACAAGGTACCTACTAGAAAAACTATTTGGTCCTCAAGTGGTAGGTGCTACAAGTGACAATAGCTATATGTATGTAGACCTTCCTCCCAATATGGTATCTTTCTTTCACTCTCATAATAATGACATATCATACTTTCTAACAAATTATATATCATCGTATAATTCTTTGTTTTTTTTTTCTGTCATATAATTGAAGATTGGTTCTTTCTTGATGGGTTGGTTTGGTGTTGTTTTCAAAGGAGATATCTCCAAATTCTCCCCTGAGCTGGCAGTTGGGTTGACCACAGGTTACTTAGGGAGTCTGACCACATTCAGTGGCTGGAATCAGAAAATGCTCGAGCTTAGTGTCAATGGTCAATGGGCTTTCTCTTTTCTTGGATTTCTTCTAGGTAATTCCACATATTACATAAATTCAAGTTTTGCTTCTTTCATTCATGCTTTGCTTAATTGCTTAATTGCTTAGGTCCCGTTTGATAGTTTCTGTCTGGTAAAGTGCTGTCTGGGAAAGTTTTCTGACTGGGAAAGAAACCATGCTGTTTGATTATACATCTGATTGACTGTGCTGAATGATGAAAAAAATTAATAATTCAATGAAAAATAAATTTAAAAAAAGTTATTTAAAAAAATTAATAATCCAATAAAGAAAGAAAGATGCGGAGTTTGGTATATAATTGTATTTCCAGCCCATTCAGCCAGAAAGATATGATTTTGAGGCTTTCTGGGAAAGACATATCTTACCGGAAAGACCCCTTCTTTTGTGCAAATCAAACAGTCTTTCCGGTCCATTCAGCCAGAAAGATCTGTTTGGACCTGGAAAGATGTGTATCAAACGGGGCCTTAATTTGTACTTTTCTTTGCAGGCTTGTTTCTTGTTGCATATTCATTCATATTCGGGGTGGAGACAGCAAAGGGTGTGAAATGGGTTTTTAACAAAACAAATCTAAATTCCAAATGTGGGTTTGAATTAAAGAACAACATTATAAGTGAAAGTATACTGATACTTTTGATGATTACATTACTGGGGTTACTATGGGGTGTGAGTATAGCATTATTAAAAAGGGATTTTGAGAGTGACAAAAGTACAAGTCATTTATGGTTAGGTTGTATAGTTGGACCAATTGGTGTATGGATCAGATTCTATTTAGCAAAATTCAATGGAAAAGGCTTAGGAGGAAAACACATCATGAAATGGATGCCTTTTGGGACATTGATTGCAAATGTATCAGCCTCCTGCATCATGGCAGCCTTTGCAACCATGAAAAAAGCTGTAAATTTTCTTCTTCTTCTTTGCATGTTTTGAATGGTATTAGGGTTGTTTAACATGTGTTTTTTTGACATTGATAAACATATAGGTGAAGAATGAACATTTTGGTATTGTGGCAACAGGGATACAGTTTGGGTTATGTGGTTGTTTGAGTACAGTTTCAACTTTCATTGCCGAATTTGGAGCAATGAGAGAGAGTGTGGATCCTTGGAAAGCGTATGTGTATGCATTCACAACTATGATTGTTTCATTTGGTTTGGGGACCTTCATTTACTCGGTTCCTGTATGGGCCAAAGGTTGGTCATAGTCACAAATTCAACACATAACCAAATTATATGACCTAACCATAGAACCAATCATGTAGTTGGAAGTTGAAGCTTGTAAGTATGATGACTAATTATTATGTGTGATTGTAGTAACATTGAACCCTGAAACAGTTGGTTGAGGGGCATCTTTCCAACAAATCCTGATACTGTTAGGTTATAGGCCATTTGGTAGAAGAATTGTCTTGGGTATTTCACATTTGTATAGTAAAAACTATTTAATAACCTTTTTGAATAGTAATAAGTCTTCCAATAAATCTCATTGGGGTGCTCTTGGAAAAAAAGGTGGACTACTCTACAACAAGAAGATATCGGAGTTAAAACCCAATTTTTGAAATAACGAGTAGCTAACAGGGTGAAGAATAGTATGTAAACACTTAAAGTGGCATCACTCTAGCAAGGAACACAAATGTTATTTGCTATGCGGTAATATATAAAAGGGGTAACAAATCATTTATAGTTTTCTACCATTCAAAATACATTCATAACAAAAAAAAGTTGTTATCGAAAAGTTACTATTACTTCTATTAAAAAAATATGATGATGACCTCATATAATTCGTTTAATGGGTGAATAAGGATTAATGTCATGAATGAACAACTAACTGTCATAACTCTAAAAACCATGATAGTATTTTCAATAGTTGGTATTTTTTTGAACAGTTTAAATTCTTTATTACCTCATGATTATGACATCAACCTTTAATTAACCAGCCAAATAACTATAAAATGTCATAAAAATATTTTTCTTAACAAAGTAAAAGTAATTTATATTGTTTCATATTGAAAGATTAGCTTAATGATATTTTTTAAGCAATTAAAATAGTTTACCTAGTTAAACAACATTAAACTAAAGTTTTGAAAACCGGACCAGTTGAACTGAAACAAATGGCTTTATCGTTTCGGTTAGCTCCAAAAAACTGGCTATTTGAGAACCGGTCAAAACCATCCGGTTTTGGTTAAGAACCGTTACAAACCGCTAAAAACTAGTTTCACATTGAACCGACAAGAGACATTTATTTTTAATTGTTTATTGAATTCTTTTAGAGTAAATTGCAGTTTTGGTCTTGTGGTTGACATTTAGTGTTGTAAAACTCGCCGAGTTGGCCGATTACTCCTCCGAGTACTCGCTACTCGGCCCCTTACCGAGGCGAATTACAAAATCCCGAGTACTCCCCAATCGGCCATTTTACTGAACTGAGTAGTGTTGTGAAACACGGTCAACTCGGTGATTAATATATATTAATATACTTAATGATTTATTATTTAACACACACATGTGATTATTACTACATATATATCTTAAATTTTCAGTAATTATTCACGAAGTGAGACAATTATGTGTTTTTTTAGCTTTTGTTATTCACATATATCTATTTTGTTATATATTTCAATCAACTTATGATTTTAACTTATGATTTTGACATATATAATTTTCCTAAAAATATTTTTACATGAATTACCGAATCCGAGTACTCCCGGGTACTCGCTACTCGGTAGTCGGCCGAACAGGTACCGAGTAACGAGTTCTGCAACCTTATTGACATTGTTTACCAATTTTAGTCAAGTTTTGAAAAAGAAAAAAAGAAATTAAGAGGGTAATATAGTCTCTTTATGTGGACCAGGGATTAATCTTGCAAAGATTTGGTAACCATGAGTACTAACAATGTCAAATATTCAAAACTTGGACTAAAAGTGGGGAACATGCCAACCACAGGGACCAAAACTGTTGCATAGAAGATCGCTCATTTTCTCCTCCACCGGCCACTTCCTCCATCAATGGTTTCACTTTCATTTCTCGTTTCTTTTAACTAAATAGAGTTATACCAAAACAATGCAAAAGCCAAAAGTCCACAATGCCATTTAACCAGGAATCCGTAGAAGTTTTCTACTAGGAGCAGGATGGGCTAATCCGGCAAGAGCTCCTCTCAAGTATATCTTGCAATTGATGCTATTTTTATATAAAAAAGGCTCAGTAGACATTAATACAGTTGCAATTATTTTTATAAAGTCTCTTAATTAAAAAATAAAAATAAAAAAAACATACCACGATAGAGGTTCATATGGGGCAATGATCCTCTTAAAAACTTGACCTAATGTCTTAATGCATATTAGTAATTTGACCACGATAGAATAACTTGAAAACTAATGTAAGTATTATATTGTCACTTGTATTTTTTAGAACGGCTGGTTGGTATATGTCTGTGATAGAACCCATGATCTCCTTGTTAGTAACTCTTATTTAGATACCTCGTTAGCCAAATAGGCTAGCACCAACCTGTATCACTTGTATTTGATATGCACATATGTTTCTTAATAAATTGAAAACTAAATGCAGGTGCATTTGGTTGGTTTTTAGTTTTTGGTATTTTAATTAACCGTTGCACGTTTAAACTTTAAATTCTTAGTATTTTAATTTCATTTGTTATTCTATGGTCTATTTTGCATTTTTTTATAAAAATAAAATTAATCATGATGTCATCTATTTTTTCTAGTTTTTATAACGGATTGAACCGGTTAAATGGTGAGTTTGGTGTCAATCCGATTTTCTAAACATTTCATTTAACTTTTAATTTAAATGGCTAACTTGGAAATATTTACCATGTAAATAGTTGGATAGCTTTTTTGAACCTTTATTATACAGCTAGGTGTGTGACCCATGTATTACATAAGTTTATTTAAAAAAAATTAAATATGAAATTTTAGCAATTTGAGATGTTTGAATTTATAAGAAAAAATGAGAAAAATTTTGAATTATTAAAATTAATGAGACTTTAATACATTGAATACATTACATATATAAACCTTTTATAATAAATACCTTACTGTTGTAAATAATTGGTGGATGACATAATAATTGGTGCATGGTACATTTGTCAACATTTCTAACTAGTTACAATTATATGTTAGTAAAATTTGTAGTATAAATACCCCTCCATTGTAAAGAATGAGATACACCAAAAGTTATAAGAGATATAACTTTCATATTCTCTCTAAATATTCTTTTCTTCTCAATTAAACTTCTTATCAAAGTTTACTAGTTTGGTTTGATTTATAGTTACATTAATTACACTTAATTCATAACACGTTATCAGCACGAAAGCTCTAATCAAGGTTATTAAACAAGTGGAAAATCATATCTATCTTAATCAAGGTATGTATTACTTATTAAAAACACTATTAATTATAAAAACCTCAATCATATTAAAATAATAATAATACTAATGAATTAATGAAACTTATACATTATGGACATTATGGACTACTAACAATTTTTATTTCTTATACTAACATTTCTTTATGTATTCTAATTTTTATACTAACATTTACATTATGCAACTAATTTTTATTTATGCAAACTAACATTTACATTATGCAACTAACTTTTATTATGCATACTAACATTTATATGCTACTAACTTTTATTTGTGCATACTAACATTTAATTATATTTATATACATGTCAATGTTTATTTATATTTAGATACTCTTCATAATTTTATTTAAACATTTACTAATATTTATTTATGTTTCTAATTAGTAAAGTTATGTATTAGTTATAAGTCTTATTACATGATTTATAAAATACATATACATATATACACAACGAGAATATATATGCAACGGTTATAAACAGCAAAAACAACGGCTATATTTTTTTTACCATAAATAAACATCTTTACCCTGCTTATTTTACCCACAACAAATTTTTCTCTCTTGTATCAAATAAATCAATTTCAAGAAATCAAGCTTCAAGATGATTCATCCTTTTGTGATAATCATGACTATAATAGTCATGTTACTTTTCATCCCAATCCTTAACATCGAAGATAATATGGAATTTCATCTACTTTTAGGCTTGTATGCAATGTTAGCTTTACCGCTTATTTTTTGTGTAATATTTATTGAAATAAATGGATTTTAATTTTAATTTTAATTTGTTTAAAATTTATAGTTACATTATGTCCAACATTGCAAAGCTCGAGTTTGCAGCACTTGAAGTTAGTGGGAAAAACTATGTGCCATGGATGATAGATGTAAAAATGCATCTTGAATCCATGGGTATCTCAAATACTATATATGAATTTAATAATTGCTTGGCACAAGACAAAGCAAAAGCACAAGTTTTCCTTCGTAAACATATTGATGAAATGTTGAGATTTGAATATCTTGATGTTACTGATCCAAGTATTCTCTGGAATCTTTGAAAGAAAGATTTGATCATCAAAGGAAGTTATACTTCCAAATGCTAAGATGAATGGAGAACACTAAGGTTTCAAGACTTCAAGAAAGTAAATGAATACAACTCAGCTTTGTTCAGAATATGTTCACAACTCAAGTATATGGACAAGAGGTTACTGATGAAGATATGTTGGAGAAAACTTACTCAACATTTCATGCAACAAACATTACTTGATGCAACAATATCGGATGCAAAAGTTCACAAGATATTCTGAATGAATGCATGTCTGCTCGTTGCAGAGCAAAACAATGAACTCTTGATGAAAAACCATGAATCTCGTCCAACGGGATCAGTAGCACTTCCTGAAGCAAATGCTACAAATATTGATGGTCATCGAAACAATACACGTGGACGAGGGCGAGGTCGTGGTCGAGGACGAGGCCGTGGCTATTTTAATCGAAACCAAAGCCATAATCAGAACCATAATTCTGGTCGTGGACAAGGTAATAATCGTGGTCGTGGCCAGAAAAGAAATAATTACCAATATTCACAAAGAAACAATGTCCACACACAAGATAAGGCCAAAGTGGCAAGGCATGACACTGGGACATCACAAAAATCTGATGGTTCATGTTATAGATGTGGTAGCACAGGCCATTGGTCAAGGACCTGTCGCACACCTGCACATCTTTGTCAACTTTATCAAGAGTCCATTAAAGGAAAAGGAAAAGAAGCAAACCTCATTGATAATGTTGAATTCACTCCACTAAATGTTGCTGATTTCTGCAATGACATGGAAGACATAAACTAAAAAAAATCTATTATTGTTCTAGTAAAACTGTTTTTCCTTCGTTTGTTTTTCATGTAATGTCTTTCCTACAATAAATGAACTTTCTTTTTAATAATAATTATGATTATGTTTATTCACTTATTATTCCTTTTATATGTGAAGTTTAATATGAGTCCAACTGGAGCACACACCAAGAAAAGATTGGAGATCTTTGTATAGCA